GAGTGATTGTGAGGTGAGGATGGACGCCCAACAGCATGTGTATCTGAGAACTTCTTTCTAGTTGGTGGGTCCTCTTGGCACTAACTCAGCAGGGGTCAAAAGCATGAACTTGGGGCCCTTCAGGAGGTAGGTGGCACCTTCATTCAGAGCAGCGAGCAGGTGGCACGGAAACCTCTCTCCTGTTTGCTGTGCTGGTCCTGCTCTGCTCCCTAGATGACAGAGGGGCCTCCTTTCCGGACGAGCCCTGCAGGCTGGAGGGTGGGGCTGGAGGAGCTGGCAGCTGATGGCTGCCTCCCTGGGGCCTTTCCAAACACCAGGGTTTGTGCAGGGCATTTTTCCTGAGTCACCCTTGGTGATAAGACAGCAGGAGCCACTCAACAAGTCAGGTTTTAGACCCTTAATCTCAGAGGCTAGATTTCAGAATTTGCAAGTTTCTTAACAAAACTATTGTTACCTTGATGGAACCATAGTCATTCTGGGAACCAAAACAGCAAACAGAAGGCTGAGCCCCCGCAGAACTGGCGGGAGCTTAATTCTCTGGCTCCGTATTGCTACGTGTATTTATTCATTCAGCCAGTATTTCCTGAGTCCCTTCTACACTTCAGGCCCAGCTCAGTGCTGGAGAAATATTGGTGAGCACATGCAGCCCTAGGGCTCTCTCGATGAAGTCTGCAGCGTGGTGGGTATGGGCCCCAGGACAGCCACCGAGCAATACAAACAGCCACTGTAGCAAACGCTCTAAGGGAGTGGTCGAGGCTACATTGGATGCATGTTGGGGGGCTGCCTTGGTTAGGCTGGACAAGGAGGGCTGTCTGCAGCACAGACTCTGAGCTGGACCTGAGGGATGAGGTGGGGGAAAGGAGAGGGCGCCCTGTTTGGGGAAGGAACAGGACAAGTGCGAAGGTCCTGGGTGAGAGAAGAGAATGTAAAAAAGGTAAAATGAGGCAAGAGGGGCTGGAGCAGCGGCAGTGGAAGCTTAGGGAAGTATTCAGGGCATGGGGTACGGAGGAGCTGAGTTGAGGAGAGGAGACCTAGCAAGCGCTGCAGGGAGGAGGCCCCCTGGGGAGAGCTTCTGGGCCTCCTAGACTTTCTGTCATCCATAGAGCAATGGCTGTAAGCAGGGCAGGAGACTGGATGCTTGAATCATATTTGCATTTTGAAAGATCAGTTATCAGTTGGGCTACAGTGCTGTCTTCTCTGAAGGTGATTTCTGCATTGCAGAGGGAATGAACAGAATCAGTGCCCAGTGACCTGGGCAGAAGCTGGCACCTTGCAACCAGATCTACATATGAAGATCTTTTATGTTTCATTTCTGGCATGGCTGTGGCAAGCCAGTCTTTCCATGGCTCTGTTTCCTCATCTATAAAACAAGATAATAGCATGTCCTTCTACACTGTTGTGAGACTTAAGGAATTTAAGGTACATAAATAACTAGTCTGGCACACTGCAATTCCCCCTGGAATTTTTAAAAGTCGAAACCTACTGTTATATTATCTATGACATGAAAAGCCCAAACTCAGCAGGTCAGATGGTCTTCCAGCATCACTTGGAAAAATGTCTTAGGTTTCACCTGAATTTCACCTTCCTGCAGATGGATGGTCTGGAAATGCCTTCTCTTGCTTCTCGAAACAACAACACCATCAGGCAACAACCACTTATTAAGCTATTTGTTTAAGGCCATCACACATTCTGGTTTAGGAACTTATTGGATGAGAGACCATAGAGAAATGCCCAAGCAGAAAACATACCCAAGACAAATGACTATTACAAACAGAGACAAATACGTACTCCGATGGCTGTGGAGCAAGTGCATTTGTGGTGTCGAGCAAGAGACTGCAGGTGCCTTCTATTTAGCCACAAAGAGGCTGGTGAGTTAGTGTGGCAAACCCACCGAGGAGTGCTGGTGAGTTAGTGTGGCAAACCCACCGAGGAGTGCACTGACCTCTACGTTCGTTCGCACGAATGTAGGAGACTCGGAGGTGCGGGAGAGTGAAGCAGGAGCGTGGGTTCTGGAGGCCCAAGTCTTTTTATTAGGACCGCCCATGGGTATATATATATAGGGTCTATACTTGCAGGGAAAAACAGGAAATGTGCCCGTTGCAGGGAGTGGGGTGCATGTTTGTACCCGGCCTGGGGCTTCTTGTAGCTTCTACTTGAAGCAAAGTAGTGGGCTGCAGCTGTTTGTAGCACAGAGCGCACTGTGCTCTGCTGACTTGTTTGTTGGCCTCACTGGGGAGTGTGCTCACCCGTGCACAACATTAGCCAGGGCGGACAGGTGCACTTGAGGTCCTACAGAGTTAGCCACAAGTTAGCCTTCCTATTCAGTCAGTCCAGAACTGGAGAGTTCGATGCCTTCGTTTCCTGAAGGCGTGGGCTGCAGGAGAATCCCAGTTGACCTGAAGCCAAAGGTCTTGTCAACAAGACTCAAGGATGGACTTTTTTTTTTTGGTTAAAGATTTATTTACCCATGTATATAAGAACTGGGGCACAGGCCAGAGGTGCGGGGGTAAGAGGACTCACCAGAGTCAGAGTTGGGTACAGAACAGGCAGATCAACTGAAATATACTGCTAAGGGGAGTAGTGGGCGAGACAGGAAAGGTCTGCCAGACCAGGTGGTCACTCCCTGGCCAGGGATCGAACTTGTGTTGCAGTGTGCTACAGGTCCACTGTGTTCAAGCCTCTGTGCCACTAGTAAGGTCCTCAAAAGTAGACTTTTAAGAGATTCCACTGGTCAATGATAAGACAATGTGCACACCAAGGGGGTGAAATAGATCAAATTGGTTTACATTCTTGAGTTTCTAATGACACGGAAAAAATTGCTGATCATTGTTACAAGATGATAAGAAGCCAGTACATTGTTTGGTGAATTTGTGAATAAAGAAAGGACTCGAATATGTATGCCGTCTTTCTGATATGAACTGTACCAAATGGGAACCGAAGGGAAGGTATTTCAGCTGATAAACAAGAGCGGCAGATTTAGAATGTCACCATTTGTAATTCTTAATGGCCTCATGGATCATCAATGATTGCTCACACCATAAAAGGACAGAACCCCCTTCCCACAATGGGCTTCATCAGGAAGAACACATACATTGTGTCAAGAATAACTGGATACAAGTGAACAGATCCAACTATCAGATAAAAGGGAGAGAGGAAAATATTTAGCCCTATAGATTAATCGACTTGACGAAACAAAGGGCCGCGTTCTTAAAAGAAACTGTAAAGCTAGAGAAAGATGGTGAGGAAACAGAATCAGACTGTTCACGAGGCAAATTACCCGACTGCAATGTATGGACTTACATAAACTATAAAAATCATTTTAAACATAAGATGATGGGAAACTTGAATACTGATGGATGTGTGGTGATTTCAATTAATTATTAATTTTTTAGGTGTGCTAATTGCATTGTGGTTCTTTTAAAAAGAGAAAAAAAAAATAAGTTTCTAGCCACGTAGGCTCATGCATGTGCAGGTGAATGCAATGATAGCTAGGATTTTTTGGGAAAAGCCAAAATAGGAGTGGGGTGGGGGTTCTAGCTTAAGCATGTGAGCCATGAGCTGAGGGTTATTGAAGTGAAACCATAGGATCTTGGGAGTCTTTTCCATAATAAAAAGTTATAAAAATCTATTGACCAATTCAACATCTGTTGATCAGTTTCACCATCGAGACATTAACTATTAGTAACAACATGGCATTAATATGAAGGTCTATTTGGCCCACCTAGTTATTTTCATGGAAATTCAGGAAACTTGGAGCCTAATCTGCTTCCCATTCAGCAGCTGAGGGGCTCTGGAACCTCAGCTCTGAGTGTCCCGGCTCCTGTCTGGGAAATGAGGGGCAGAGATGATTCTGAACATCCTGCTAAACATGGATTCTTGCCGTGACTAAGGGACCTGCGTTCTGTAGTCTGACTGTCTGGGTTGGAATCCCAGCTGCCCTAAATGTATCCTTGGGTAAATTTACTTAATCCCGCAGAGTTTCAGCTTCCAGGCCTGTAAAATGGAAAGCTTACCTCAAAGGGTGCTTGTGAGGATTAGATGAGATACTCAATGCACCCATTCTATAAACATTGGCCAGCTCACGCCCAGCTCCAGGGGAGGGCGGGCAGAGTAGTTAAGAAAACACCCCCACTGGGCTGTTTGGAGTCTAGAAGGAGAGGTCAGGCAACACTGAATGTTAAAGAAGAATCTGGACTCAAATGGCTAGAATTAGGAAGAAAACAGCAGACCGTGTGAAAGAGTGGCTTTGGGGGTGGGGGTGGGGGGTGGGGGGTGGCCAACATTTAGTCCATCTCCCCAAAGGGAGGTTGTCTGTCATGAAGGCCTCAAAGACGGGGCTGTCCGTCTAGACTTCTCAGCAGGGCTGATGTCCTCTGCCTCTCATCTTGCTCCACTCTGGCCTGGTCAGGGACTTCTGTTTGCTGCAACTGGGAGGAAGGAGTGGAGGCGTGGGAGATCATTCTGGACCTACATCAGTAGGTTGAAACCTGGGTCTCTGCTCCACATCTCACAATGTATAGGGCAGCCCCCATACCAACAAGTTCTCTAGCCCAAGATGCCAGGAGTGGCATCCTGACTCAGAAGTGAGCTAGCAGCGCAGCCCAGGAGAGAAAGATGAATGAGAGAGGCCGGCTGGGCTAGATAGATCAGGAAACGCTTTGCGGGATGCTACGAGGAGGAGCTTGGAATTATCCCCAAAGCCGCGGGCAGCCTTAGAAGTTTTAAGGAGCCGGCGGGAAGTAACCCACGCTGCGCTTAGCACCCAGCAGCGCTCCGGCCCTATTGTGCACCCTCCTCGCGGGTCCCGCGCGTGGGCCTGCTCGGCCCCAGCCCGCAAGCCGGCCTCGGCGCGGCCGCAGTGACTCCTCCTGGCCAGCAGAGGGCGCCGGCCGACACTTGGCCTCCGGCCGCCCGGGGCGGGCCTCCTCTTGCCGTCCCCCTTGCTCGTCTTTTCCCCTCAGGAGAAGTCGGGAAGGTGGCGGCGGCGGCGGTTGTCCCGGCCCGGCCGGCCTGGTCCCCGGGCGCCGCGGCCATGGCGGCCAGCGCCAAGCGGAAGCAGGAGGAGAAGCACCTGAAGATGCTGCGGGACATGACCGGCCTCCCGCACAACCGCAAGTGCTTCGACTGCGACCAGCGCGGCCCCACCTACGTGAACATGACGGTCGGCTCGTTCGTCTGCACCTCCTGCTCGGGCAGCCTGTGAGTGCCGGGCGGCGGCGCGGCGCGGCGCGGCTCGCACGGGGACTGGAAAGGAGGTGACCTTCAAACCCCGCGCTCGGGAGCCGGAGCCGGGAGGAGCCCAGGGGCGAGTCTGCTGCGGCGGCACCGAGGCAGGGAAGCCCAGGGAAGCCCGGGGAAGCCCGGGGAAGCCCGGGGAAGCCCGGGCCCGGCGCAGCGAGCAGGCAGAGCCCAGGGGCAGGCGCTGCGCCCAGCTGCGCACTGGGGCAAAGTCTCTGGGGTGTCGGAGGCGCCGACCGCAACCAGCGGCGCCCGCAGGGGCCGGTGCCGTTTCGTGCCCTGTACCCCATCCCCGGGCAGTCCGGCGCCTGACCACAGCCCACGAGGCGGCCTGGAGCAGAC